TCAAATTTTACATTTCAAATTGAATTTTGGTATCTATTTGCTGGGGTACATTTTGAAAAATAAATCTCAAATGTCTTTTTCTTTTTCATTTTAATTAAGTGAAAGAATGAGCAGTCTTGAAGAAAATAAAGATGCAAATAGGATTGTTGATTACTAATTTCATTTATGGGTCAAACAATGCAGCCACATTCTTAAAATGAAAAAGCATTTCTGGAAATGCTTTTTCATTTGAAATATGGTAACGATTTGCTTCCATAGAATACCTGCTCCAGATTTGCATTTATGCTAAGTAGGATCGTTTCTTTGCTATTAAGCGCTAACTCTCAGTCAATATATTCCATCCCTGTCTCTAAAGTTCTCAGGTACAATTCCCAGAATTCCAGGGTTGGGTCCAAATGTGTTTCAATCCCCAAGATACAGCTTATGTCCCTTTGTAAACTTTTATAGACCTCTACAATCCCAGGACAATCCCAAAGTCTATGTGTAAAGTGCCCCGATACCTAACAGGTTTTTACTAAATTTGGATGTGATGGATGGTGTGTTTAAAATAACACATCTTCACTTCCACATCCCTCCATGTCGGGCTATTAGTCCTGACCTGAATGTTTCCTCCTAGTCATCTAATATTATAATATTTGCTTCTAGTTCCATTTTTTTTCTTAACATCTGTGTTATTGACACTGGATTCACATTGTAGAGCTCTATAAAGTTTTGACATCAACCCAATCTTTGATTCACTGTTTGCGATTGATAATGATAATAATAATAATAACAATAATAATGCTAATAATAATAATAAAAGACACATAATTTAAAGCTAATTTAAAACTGTGGAATGATTCTAGATTTGCAAAACTTGTATCCCAATGAATTAGAATAAATTTGAAAGTCAATTTATTTCACATATTCAACTGAAAATGTGAAAATCATACATTTCTTACACACGATATATTTCAAACTTTTTTTTACAATTATGGCTTATAGCTAATGAAAAATTTAAGAGAGTTAAAATTCTGTTTCTTATAAAAATGTTATATTTCATATAACCAATAAAAAAAATTATACTACCACATGGAGTTCAAAGCACTGAAATGCATATTATTGATTAACATGTGTAACAATACAAAATACAACATTACGCCTAACTGTAATCCAGTAGTTACATATTTTTATTGGCACCTCAGATAAAGATGTGTAAAAATCCTTAAAAAAAAATTAATGTTTTACTGCAGCAGCATAATATCCCTGTAGAAAAATCCAACCTTTAATTTGAATACCTGTATTGAGTGGGGAAGACAATCCCATGTTAAGAGATCATTGTTTCCCCTGTGGCACTTTTCCCACCTATGCCTTTAAAACAAATACAATTTGAATTCACTAGAGTTTCTAGGAACTTCTAAGTAGTAATCACTGAGTTTCTGTTTACTTTGGGTGCACCTTGTTTCCCATAACATTTAAATATCACAGTTGGAGAACTGCAGCAGAGAGGGGAATCTTGGTGTCACCGAGTCTCCATTATAACCATTAGATGTCATTACATGTCAACTCAGTTTGAGTGATGCCAGGAAAAAGTTTTTTATGTTCCTTTACAGATGTTAAAATGTGGAGTTTGCAGAACTTTACTGGGATTCCAACTGGAACCCCGTGCTTTGGTCAAATGAGATTAACATTAAGCTTTTCTAAGACACTCCAGGTGTTTGTTCTGCCATCAAACATTGCATGAATATTTGGAAAGGAACTCATGTCCACTGTTGAGCACAGTGGAGGATCTGTGATGCTTGGGGCCTGTTTCTCTTTCAGAAGAGCTGGGACCATTGTTAAAGTTGATGTGACTCTTTTCTTCATGATAAGTCTTAGGCTGTACTTCTTAACTGGTAACTGGTCTAGTGCTGTGGGGCTGCCAGTCAAGAACTAATACCCTGTGTCTATGGGGCCAAACCCTTGCAAATTATGCTTAATAACACAGTTTCTAGGAAACAAATGTGACTGAAAATGACATATTGGTCCAAAATCCCCATTTTTGTCTCTTGATCCACAAACAGCAGCCCTGATGTGGGCACTGATGCTGTCACACACCTGAGGTTTCATAGATTTGTGATGCTGTGGGCCTCCTTCTCTTCCAATGACTCTGGGTACCTTGTTTGAGTTCACAGCATCAAGAAATCTTTGAAATTAGAAAGAAAAAAAAAAAGTCAAATGTGGTAGGCTCTGCCAGAAAACTAAATAAAGGTCATTATTGGGTCTTTTTAGCAGGATAATGATCCAAAACATATGGCCTCACTCTGTATGGTTCAGCCTTCTGAAATATTGGGAGAAAACTGTTGGCAGAAGGGAGTGGTAGAAATTATTGACTGCTGGGGTGCCAAAAATATGCCAGTGGTGGTTTTGTTAAAAACAGTTATATTAGATTTTTTCCCCCGACTGTATTAATTAATTTGAATTAAAGGTAGCCTTTATTAAAGTTTTAAAATATTGTGCTCCTGCCAGACAAATTTGTATTTCAAGTCTTTCTTTTCACATCTTTTCCAATAAACACAGTCGTCACTGTACTTCTTAACCTTCCTAAAGTGTTTTTTGTTCATGCCTAACCTTGTGGATTAGTTTGTGATTAGCAATCTGATGCATTTTACAGTTATAGTTAGTCCTAACACGTGCTTTACAATACAATAAACTACTTAAAAAATCTTTAACAACCTCCTTCTAAATGTAGAAGGAAATGAGATACGAGCAAAGTTAGTCGACCTTATAGTAAAGCCTGTTTTATATTCATTGTCTTTGTAACTTCGTGATTACTTTATCTTGTTCTTTCCCACATTGCAATGAGACAAGGAAGCAAGCTGCTAATTTTAAAATGAGGAATTAGGTCATCAGCTCTGCTTACTTTAAAGTCGTGGAAGACGAAACAAAATGGACTAGATTCAAGCGACTTTTATCTGAAAGCTTTGGGTTTAAAAAGTAGAAGTCCCCTTTTTCAGTCTACAAGTCAACATTTTTAAATCACCAAATGTTTGGTTTTTAATGTCTAAACATCTGTTTTTATTTTACTGAAAAACATGTGTCACTTTGCCACCGTATTCACCCCCCTATTTTACGATACTCCTAAATAAAATCTAGTACATCCATTTGCCGAGGCAGTGTACTCTCACACACAAACACACTTTATTTTTAACAATTCCCATTTGGTTCCAGTCATATCCCAGTTTGTCCCACATTAAAACTGGGTCCTTCATGTGCTTCAGTATATGTTCATTACCTCAATAACATGGCTTCTGTCTCTTTTCCACATTCATCCACTTTCTCCCGACCACAGCCTCTGGTAGCAAGTACATCCAGACATGTGTGCCCTCACTCTCCTTGGCTAACTGTTAGCTAAGGGCTAAACGCAGGATGAGTTTGTCCTGCTGGCTTCTTCTTCGCTTGAGGCGGTGCTCTTTCATGCCTCTGCTTCCCTTGTTCTTCCAATGTGTTCTGACCTTGACAGTGGAAAATAGAAGGGGAGTTGGGGATGACATTTTGCCTGACCGCAGCCCTTAGATAGGTTTCTGAGATGATGAACTGCTTTGCTTGGTGACATTCATCTTTCCCATGTGTGCACCTCCTCTCCTTCATTCAACTCCACCCACACCCTTCTTTCTCTGAGTTTCCTTTGTTTCAGTCTGGTGGGGAAGAAATGAAAATATTGGCACAGGTTATTTTGAAAAAAATTTTTTTCTTAGATATTGAAGTTTTTACATAACAAAAACTAGTTTAATATAAATGTATGTATACAAGTATGGGAAAATTCAAGGACTTGCTTAACTAATCATATAGCATATCTATAAAACCAGAGCTTTTTGGCAGTTTGGTTGTCTGAAAAACATTCATCTAACACAATGCCAAGAGGGAAAGACGTAAGCAATGACCTTAGATAAGGACGTTTTTCTGCATATAATTCTAGGAATGATTGCAATCAGTTTCTGCAGAAATAGAAGTCAATCACTCGATTTTATTCTTAGAACGATTATTTTTATTGGAAGTAATTTAAGACTATGCTTCCAGGAGTGAAATTACTGGCAAGCTTACTCCAAGTTTAGCCTATGTCACGCTCAGAGGAGACTGCTAAAAATCCAATGTTGCCACCACAGATTCCACAGGCCTCAGTTTGCATCTTAAATGTTGCAGTTCATGACAGAATGTCAGGAGAAAGCTTGTTCTCGCTAAAAATAACACAGGGGCATCACTTTGAAAGTAAGCATTTCAGTGAGCCATAAAACATCTGAATTAATGTCTGGTCGTTTGTTGAGGAATCGTACACCCTGCAAAGTATTACTGTCAAACGTGAGTGCTGTCAAGCATGTCTGAAATTGAGTCATCAGCAAGACAATGACTTGAAAACAGAGCGAATGGCTAAATTAGGAAACTAAGAGGGTCTGGGTGGCTCAGGTGGTTGAGCCGTCACACCATGTGCAGAGGCTATAGCCCTTGACATGGTTGTCCTGGGTTCCATTCCCGGTCTCGGCCTATTTGCTGAATTTCTTCCACTTCTCTTTCCACCCTCTTTCTTGTCAAACTACTGTTCAATAAAGGCCCCTAGTGCATGTCCCAGTTAAACTACAGATCTAAGACTGATAAAATGCTGTAATGGGCCTTAGGAAAGCTGTTCATTAATAAAAATCTCAAAACCTTACTGAACTGAGGCAATGTAGGCCAAAATTTGTCAAGATCAATGAGATACACTACAAAAGTCATACCAAAATGTGTGCTTAAAGGTGGTTCTACAATCCTTAGAACCTCAGACTTTTTGGCATGAGTTTCTCTCATGTTCTAACCATCATCTTCTAACCTTTAAAGTTACCTTGGAGAACTGTGGCATACTCAGTGCAGATTGATGGGACCCATTAGAAGGACCCAGTTTGTCTGAGCACTCTGTTGGGTTCAGAGGCAGTAAACAGACATATTGCATGTCTTGGGTTTTTAATTGTGTTTAAATGCCAGGACGAGTGATGGTACTATTGGGACATTGGAAGAACCATTACAGGGCTCGCTGGCTTAAATGAGCTTACCTCTGACTAGACAGCTAAACGACGCTGGTGAATGCCAGAACTGATGGGAATACAGTTTTAAAATCATCAAGCAAACCTCTCAGTACTTCCAGAGTGCTGCTGAAATACAGGTTTGATTGATACCTACATATCTGCTGAGGGCTTTGGCCTTGTTGGTCTTGTTGGGTTCACATTGTGGAAAATGGTTAACTGCTGTCCTGAGACGTGCCTTTTTCTTTTTCTTTTTTTGTGGCTGTTGTCGGTGGAGCTCGACATGCATGGAGCTCCTAATAATAATAAGGCTCATTAGGTTATTGTCATTTAATTATAGCACTTAGCACATCAGAGCATACCAGTGCTCTGAAGCGTGTGACACTAATTTACACAAGGGTCTGTTAGTTTACATGTCTGAGCCATTTCAGCCATGTAAATCATAGTATTATCAACTGGAAATCCTGTTCTCTGTGCATGTATGTATGACTTATACAGACTTGCTTTATCTCCTCCAGTCTTAATGGCACTAAATGCTGCCAAATCTTTTGTTTCTAAGAACTTTTGTTGTTAGCCGTGTCTGTGGTCTTCTTGATGGATCCCACTGTTGTGTCTTCTGTCCCTCAGCTGGTCTACCCGTTTAGTCTGAATTCAAATGTGTCAACAAATACGATGAAATACTATGACAACATTCATGTATTTCCTTTTACATTTAGCTTCATATTTTTTTGTAGCATCAAGCAGCTCAAAGACTTTAGATATCTTCCCAAAGGTCTAGATATTTTCTTTAATGAACTGGAATGAAAAGGGATGCAGTGCGGCCAGCTCTGCGGGCAGTTTTTGTGCTGTCAGTTGCAAAAAAATAGAAAAGAAGGAAAGATTACGTCTTCCACGTTTCCATCATAATTTATCAAAATGATAAATTGATAGTTTTTTGGATTAGTTTAACAATCAAAATTTTTCAATTAATCCTTTAATCTTCACTTAGGTACTTGTTATTTGATTAATTAAATGGATAATGTTCCTCCAAAGGTCAAAAGCAATTTTACCTTTTAAGAGACAAGTTGGGGAATTTTTTCATGTGATGAAATAAAATGTAGACCAAAAATTCCAGAAATAGGTTATAAAATACCACTTCCAGCACAGTGGCAGCTGGTGATTAAAACATTTGGATGGCTGCACTAGAGATCAGGGATCACAACACAACAATAAACTCTACTTGAACATAAATCCGTCCTCGGTCACTGGTCAGTCCAATCCAAATTCCTTTATCTGTTTCTTTCCTCCTACACAATCCTCGTCAAATTATTATTTTCTAAATAAATGGCCAAATTGCCTTTTGCTTCTGCCTTTGTTCCCATCTTGTTTTTGTTGTCTGATTTTTCTTTTAGCATCTTTTAGCATTTAGCTCTTCTTTTGACCCAGAAGGAAGCAACGAAGCTGAAGTAGCTTCCAATTCGGGAAACAAATTGGAAGCAGGTGATTGCAGGCAAATTTCTGCAGGCAAATTTCTGCGGGCGAATTTCTGCGGGTGAATTTCTGCGGGCGGATTTCTGCGGGTGAATCTGCAGGTGAATTTCTGCGGGCGGATTTCTGCGGGCGGATTTCTGCGGGTGAATCTGCAGGTGAATTTCTGCGGGTGAATTTCTACAGTGGACTTTTTGCAGGTGAAATTTTTGCTGGCAAATTTTAAATACAAAAAAAAAAATCACATACATAATTGCACAGGATAAAAATTCAGCATTATAAATTCAGTGTCTAAAAAATGTCGGATTGTAATGAGACTATTTTACTTCCAAAGTTGCTAGACTTTTGTTTTGCCTAATCTAACAACTCTTTGTTTCAATTACTCTAATTTTATAAATATATATCTAAAATGAATAAAACAAGATGAGGTAAAAATGATTTGACTGGCTGCACATTAACACACAGGTCGAGTCTTAATCAGTCAAATGTTTGTCCAAATCTTTCCTCAGACATTTTTTCAGGAGGCGTCACAGAGTGCTTTAAACAGCTTAAAGAAAACTTAAGATAGCTTTGTGCTTTCTATCAGCTTATCAGTGGCCCCTGGCTGTCGTCTTGTCAGATCTGCATCATGTATGAAGCTTTCTCTGCTGCCGTTTACAATGAAACCCGACAGAGCATCTACAAGATTCTGTGGGCAATGTTATTAAAGAGCTCCATAAAACTGGACAGCAGTGTTTGAGGCCTCCACCGACTCTCCAGTCAGTCCTGCTTCCTCTTACATTAATTAGAATATGGCCTGTCTCCCATCAAATGGTGGCTAAAAAGGTGGAGGCTGCTGAAATATTTAGCTTGAGTACTTGTACATTAGCCTTAGTTAAGGACATCTGAGAGAATATTCTAACACTTACAAGTCTCACCAGTTTTTAAATCAGGACATTTATGACATAGTAAATGGGTGGAGAGGAAAGGAAAAAAGATGAATCCATGGTGAGGATTTTAACATGACTGTTATAATTTCATTAAATGAATAAGTTTTGTTCATCCACAGCTTTAAATACTGCTTGTTTTTAAACCTTGGAAATGTGATTTTTTTTTTTAATGGCAGAGGTCAAGTTTTGTTCAGTGGTGAAAAAAAAAAATCACTTCACCACAGCTACCTTTTTTTTTCTACTGATGTAGTGGAATCAAATAACTAAAACATTATCTGTGCTTCTCTTCACGTTGTACAGAAACAGGAGATAAAACATGAAAACATGTAACCTTAAGGCACTTACTTCTAATTAAAATCCCACTCTAAGGCTCTGTTACCAAACAAGGTTCTGCTCAGAAGTTTGTCCTCAGAAGCTCTATCAAACTACCAGAATAAAGAAAGAGATTTCCATTTTCTACTTTTAATGATGAGTTGGTAGCGCCTCAGGACAAGCAGGGCTACGTTAATGAGAAAAGAACAATGGGATGTCTTTATAAACTACATAATGTGATGGGAAAACAGGATTCCCCACCATTTGTTTTACTTTTAACGATGCACTTGATTAATTGCCTATTTAGTCGTAATGCAATTTTAGGAGCACATTTTATTGCAGAGCTCCAGGGCAAAGTAGCTTAAAAGTTTTAACAAGTAAAGGAATAGTCACAGGCATATCTTAAGAAATTCAAATATCAGTGTAAATAATTTGTACTTATTTTAGTGATTCAATATAAAAAGTGAAATCTGTGTCTGATCTAGTTCAAGTGTTTATTTTTTATGATAATGGCCTAAAGGTGTATGAATGAGTGTGTGCGTGGTTGTTTGTGTGTTGCCCTGCGATGGACTGGCGACCTGTCCAGGGTGTACCCTGCCTCTCGCCCATAGACTGCTGGAGATAGGCACCAGCTCCCCCGCGACCCACTATGGAATAAGCGGTAGAAAATGACTGACTGACTGACTGGCCTAAAGGTAATGCAAATCTTAAAATGTGTTTCTCACAAAATTAGCACATTGCATAAGAAAACCAAAAAAATCAAATGTTTAATGCACAGATGTTATGTTATGGCTATGTTTTGGGTATACAAAACTGCTCCTGTCACCCTAAACCAGCACACAGTCACTGATGTAGCAGGGTAACCCACAAAGGGTCATTGCTGATGAAGCTGGCTGTTCAGTGTGTTGTGTCAAAGCATACAAGTGGAAAGCTGAGTGGAAAGAAAAGTGTCCTTCAACCAATAAACAAGTGCATATATTGTGTGGTGCATGGACATACTTTTCAGTAGTCCACTTTTGTGTATTACAATTTCTATTGGTCTGGTCTTGTTATATTAGAGTTTTCGGAGTAACTGATTTTGGGATTTTTATTAGCTGTAAGCATTAATCGTAAAAATGATCAAAAATAAAAGCTTAAAATATATCTATCTTTGTAAAATGTATCTATATAATAGATGGTTTAGTGTGTATAGTATCAAAGCGTAGTATTGGAAAGTTGAGTGGAAGGAAAATATGTGCAAGTGACAGGAAAAATAGTTGCTGAGAGGGGAGAGAGAGAGTGATGCAAAGAACATGCAAGCATTTGTGGGGGATTTACAAGGTGTGAATTATGGTTGGAGTCAGATTTGATTTGAGTAGCCATGTCTTCTGCTAGTGTTAGTCTACTGTATTTTATCAAGTCCATAACAAAATATTTCTTTGTTTAAAAAAATATTTTTTATTGGTTTTTAGTAATATTCTGATGTTCTGATAAGCTGAATTTTGGCTTTATATTTGTTGTAATCCATAGTTGTCAAAATTAAAAGTAATAAACAAAAGTGCTAAAAACTAGTTTATCACTAAATGTGTAATGAATACATTATATTTTATGTAATGTAGATATCCTTTTTGGATGGAATTACTGAAATAAGTCCATTCATTAAGGATATTCTAATTTATCGGCATGCATGTGTATGTGTGCCCCAGCAGTTGGCTGGAATGTGCTAGAAAGCTATCACCTAACGTGACTTAACTCCTCAGTGCAGCATCTGCTCTTTAAATTATTCACTGGTTTGAGATCAT